ACACACACACATATATATATATATATATATATATATATATATATATATATATATATATATATATATATATATATATATATATATATATATATATATATATATATATATATAAAGAGAGAGAGAGAGAGAAGAGAAACAAATAGATGTAGATACACGCTATATGCTCATCTAAATGGGTTTCTTCCTTCACCAACATGACATGCTAAGCCTGTCCAAGTTCACTCACTTTACATTCATCTCAGGAGGACGTAAGGACATCAATATCTTGCACTTGATGATTGCCGGCATGCACGTCATATATCGAGGTGCCACAATCCACCCCATGAGACTTCTTCTTCGCTCGATCCATCGCTGATGGAGCCATCGGGACTGCCACCTTGAAGCATACCAGTAAAGGGATACACGTACGCCATCTCCTGCTGCATGTCGTGTGCTACTGCAACTCGCTCTACTTCGTTCATGGTCATGGTCATTCTCATCTCTTCATCCTGCTGCTGCGTCAGCAACTGCGCTTTCGGCTTCTTCTCGACGTTGTTCTTTGAGGGCGACGTGCTCTTCTTGAAGTGGGTTCGCCAGTAGTTCTTGATATCGTTGTCGGTCCTCCCCGGGAGGCTTCGAGCTATGGCGGACCATCTGCATGCATGTCGACGAGCTCAAAGTTTAGTGGTACCTACAGAGGTAAGATTAATCATCGATCACCTGTTTCCCCACGAGGCATGCAGCTCGAGGATGATGCTCTCTTCCTCGGGAGTTATCTTCCCTCTCTTCAAGTCAGGCCTCAGGTAGTTCACCCACCGAAGTCTGCAACTCTTTCCGCTCCTCCTCAATCCTACGACACAAACCGAGCAGTAACAGGCGATGGAAGTGGAGCAGCAGTTGGTGCAGTCCGTTACCTGTTAACTTAGAGACGGAATTCCATCTTCCTCCGCCATGGAGGTTGACATGCTCAGCGAGAAGCTTGTCCTCTTGGGGAGTCCAAGGGCCCTTTCTCCATCTGTCCTCTACTGCATCAGCTCCCCGATTGGGTTCTCCATCCATAGCTGGAGAAGAACCAAAGGAGTTAACACTACTATAGTTACAAGCAGCTGCCTCCTTGTTGGTAGCACACTGGAGAATGTGATTGCTTACATATATATATAAACCCTCTTTGGGTACTCACTAATTACTGAAGTGTCTATATCCTTCGAATTTCTCTTGGGAATAAAGATTATCTATATCGTTTTGTAAAGAAAGATTACCCCCGAGTGCGTTTTGCATGACTCTATGACCCTACGACGATCAAATCAGTCAGCTTCGATTTATTAATTGTGAGTAAAAGAATATATGTTCATAAGAAGTTTAAGAGTTTTAAGTCTAACTTAATAAATTTAGAGTGAAAATATGTCAAGCTAAAGTCAACCTAAGGCAAAGTCAAGAGGTGAAATGGCTTGTTCCTAAGTTCATCTTACATTTCAACTCACTTCTGTTGTTTTCTAAGCTAGCCTTTATGGAAAGCCAGCCAGTAGATGCAGTGTTAGGTCCTCTAACCAAACACAAAGTGAATACTAATGGTATATATTCTTGTCCTTCATGACATTCTAAGGGCTCTCTTACTCTTTCATACTTGTGTCTTCCCTCCAGCACAACACTCCCACAGAGCCTATAGTGTGTTGCCACGATTCTTGCTAGCCTAAACTGAGCCTTAATTGCCAAGTTAAGACTTCAACTCGAATTCTTTAGAATCTGATACTTCAATGCTACGCTCGGAAGCAATGGGGCAATTTAGAATTGACAGACACGTTTGATTCGACTGAGATCACCTTAAAGTTATGAACATAGATTCTTCAACTAAAGTTTAAGTACGGACTCTTTGCCTCTCATTCACATATCTTTGGGGAATAATCGAGACCTAAGCATTTTGATTAGGAGATTGAAAAGGAGGGTTAGTGTTCTTGGCATAGCTTACTATTGTGGGTGCTTGCTGTTCCCTTGATAGAAGCCACATTTCCAATGGCTTGTGCACACATAGTTAAGCTAAGTGGCTTTGTGTTTTTCTTTGGGATTGTTGCCATCCTTAATGATCTTTGTTTATTGGCTTTGATGTGTGTTGGGGGATTCCATTCTAGCTAAGCATGCAATATATATATTATTTGGCATCACTTACTTTAGGCAACACCTGGCTCTATCATGTGTGGATTGTGCTTAAAGAAGCTTTTGGAAACCTTTGAGGGTTGTGCAACGTATGATTGTTTTGTGTCTACCTGGATGATTCTTCAACTTTGTAATCATGGTATGGTGGAGAACTCCATGTTATAAGAACATTAAGGAGGGAAGAAGCTGCTAATGTTATGGAACCATGTTCAATGAATCAATCCACTAGTTTCAGCTGTGAGAACTCCAAAGTCTGGCTTGAGAAAGATCAACTACTGCATGAAATAATGACAGTACCAATCTATCTTAGAGCATCATGAAAATATATAAATAATGTTGTCCATATATGAGAATTGATTCAATGTAGCTTCTTAAACCATTCATTCTTTCTTTCCACTTCTTGTAGATAATCTTTTGTACACTCTCATGATTGCTATTGTGGTCACTTTCTTTACCAAATTAATAGTACTATAGAGGAACATATGAAACAAAAATTATTATAAATATTTATGTAAGGAAAAGGGTATGAGATAAACTAAGAGAATAGTCTTATAAATGGTTTGTATGTGATGTATAACCAAAACTTGAGTTACCTTTTGTTTTTCTTTTCTCTGTCATCATATTTTCTTGTAATTTTATGTTGCATGTTGTTAAACTAATTTTATTTTATTTAAAAATCTGGATTTTAAATTCATTTTATAGGGAAGAAACATTTCATGAATACACTAATATATTTTTACACAACAATAAATCTTTATTAGGTTGACTATTAATTTTAGATTTCTAATAAAACTAGAATTACTAGAAGAAAAAGATTACATAAAGAATTCAAGTAGGGAAAGAAGCCCTTTGTAATTAAGTTTTGGTTATTAATAAGTCCATTATTTGAATTCGTATGAGATTTATTTTAACATATAGTTTCATATCTATTTAATTTGTGTTATGTTTCATTGCAAATCCAATGAAATGTATTATACATACATATATACACACATATATATAGTTTTTCTATCACATCGACAGGTTGACGGATGAAAAAAAAAGATAAATAAAATTAATAGTCATATTAAATTAGAATTACAAAAAAAAATTACAATGAATATTTTCTAAAAAAATTGTCCAAGCATTTGCATAATATATAGATATATTAAAAACATTAAATGAAACATATTATTGATGATTCAAAATTTAAACGAAAGACCTGATGGTGGGACCCACACACGCATGTGGGTTCCATCACATGGGCTTTGCGTGGTCCAGCCCACAGTATCGTCCGGTATTTACACGACATAACGGCACGCATGTTGGAAAAATCGGGATTGTACGCCCTTTTTGAGGCGTAACGGCTGCAGCTCAAATCGTTCACAATTGCCGCTTCTTCCCTCCTCGGCCGGCCTGGTGGAAGCGAGAAAGGGGATCGAAAGGCCGATGGAGGGAAGCGAGAGCGAGGCGGTGTTCGATGCCTACAACCTCAACCCGCAGCGCTTCCTCAACGAAGTCCTTAACGCCGTCGACGACATGGTCGACGGAGCCTTCGATTTCTGCCTGCAGTTCTGTCTCCTCTTCCTCTTCCCTTTTACTTCCCAATTTCCCTGATCCGTCTCTTTTACCTCCTTCAGCGACTTGTTCTCACCTTGAAAGATCATTTATCTATTTTCTTCCAGTCAAGCACCACAAATCACTGGCCCTGGTGCCGATCGGTCTGAGGAGTTGGCTAGGGTAAGTTATTTGGTGCGAGTTTTACACTATCTTCTTGTTGATTATACATATGTCCACATTCGACTATTACTTGATATTGAATTTGTTTATTTTGGAATGATCCTCTAATTATGGTGTTGATCTTACGATATTGTACGGGATTTTAACTTAATTACGTTGACATTTATGTGTTTAGGGACAGTGTTATATAGTTCAATTAGATATCGATTTTTACGTATCTTGGAGAAAGATGTCGATCTTGGTGTAGGAAATGTGTTAAAACACGTTTTTTACCATAATCTTACAGTCTAATAAAGCATTAGGATACTTAGGTTCATTTGGTTGTTTGCTGCTATTCGTGTTCTCTTATCCCAGGAGGACGCCTAAGCCACTCGACTGCTGTGGCAATTGACCCTCTAAGAAAGTGGAGTTTGAATGTTTTCTTGGTACAGTTGGTTTTTCCCATAACTAGAAGTTTTTATTAGTTTTGGTAGCTTGGAAATTGTGAAATTTAGAAATTGATCATGAATTTCTTTTCTAAAACTTTGATGTTCTTGGTTTTGCCTCACATCGTCTAACTGCAATTTATGTCTCCTTAAAACATGTCTATATCATTTTATTATTATTATTATTTTTGTCATTCTATCCTCTATCAAAGCCATACCTAGTAACTCTATACATTATTATCTCAGTGATGTAAACCTTTTGTTTATGTTGGTTTTTTATCATGAAACACTTAGATTCATAAAGCATCACTGGCCTAACATCTATGTTGTAATTTTTTTTTTTTGCTAATCTAATGGACATCCAACAATCATGTAAAACTTTCATCATTTAGTTTTTATTCTATAAACAATATCCTCATTAATCATCTCTCCATCTTATTAAGTAATTGATTTAAGATATTTCAAACTTATTGGAATTTCTTGTCCATCCAACTTAACTACATTCTCGATTCCAGTGTCCATTTTTAGTTGATAAGTATAATTTTAGAAAAGTCCAGATTATACTTTTTATGTACACTAAAAGAAAGGAGATTTATATTTGACATAGGGTGTTCAGAAAATTGGAACGGTAAGATAGTCTGCAAACTAAAATGGCATTTTCTACTGAATTGGCACCCAAAAATGGTGTATTTCAACAAGTGAGTGTGAACTACATTATCAAATTATTCTACCTTTAAATGAATAGGAATTTCCTCTCTTGAGCAACACAGTATAATCATTGAGATCTAAAAAATTAAAACATCATCGCCATATTATTGAATGGCACATGTTGGATGTGTGGCCTTGTGCCATATTTAGAGTAACCAAGCTAGTTGAGTAGCAGCATTGAGCATGGATGTGTGACAATACTGCTGTATAAATTTGGGGGCATAGATGTACATGTGCACAGCACAAAACAATGTGATGGGCACAACACACTTGGCAACCTAATACCTATAGATTACTACACCATGGTATCAATATGTTTTTTAGTGAGTTGATTGCTGTTGGTTTATACCTCTCACTCATCTACATTATAATCTTCATAAGTTTGTTTCTGCTGTTGGCACATCAAATACATTATCATGGAAGCTTGTTTATTGACATTATTTTATTAACTGATAACTAATATAAATATGTTACTAATCACATATCTGTAGGACTCATAAATTTAACGGATGGAATGATGACTCTGGATAACATCTCCATATTGTGGGAAAGATTGTTTTCCTACCAATGATAATTGTTGTCTTTTTTTTGGTAGGGTGTATCTTCCCTTCGTCACTTGACTCAAGCAGTTTTGGATAAGAGAATGAGCATGTGGGAGAAGTACTGCCTTCGGCATTGTTTTTCCATTCCAGATGGATTTGTGTTGCCCAAAACTGTAGGTTTTTCTATCAAAATTGGAGCACAAACCTATATTATGACAAGTATCTTGCATCCAATCTTTGCCTGAAATATATTCAAATCTTTTTTCTTTTTTGCTGATTATGACTTGTTATGACAATGCACAGACCCGTGGTTTTCTTTTTCCCTAAGAGTACCTCTAATTTGATGTTAAGCTTATCCTAACCTTCTTCATCATCAATCTCTTCTTAGTCAGGCAAAATTCAAACAATTGTAGAACTCCTAGACCTGGACCTGGTTTTCTGACATGATGCATCAAACAAACTGATTTGAGTTATGGTTCAGATATATTGGTCTGGCCTCGTGTCTCTTCAGTTTCAGTACTCACGATTTTGTATTGAATGGAAAATGGCTATTGTGCTT